CCAGGTCTGGGACTTGACCTGTGGTCAGCCAGGTGTAAGTCCAGCATCTTTTCTTTTTTTTTTAAAGAGGTTTTTTCTTTCTTTTTTTGGAGAGCTTTTTGCTATAGGGCGTGTGCACTCGCCAGAAAGACAGAGAGAGAGAGAGACAGAAAGTGAGAAATCACCCCCCTGGGGGGATGGCCACGCCGCAATCCCTTCTCCTCCATTCTCCTCTCGGGATCTTGGGCACACACATACACGCGCCTGGCATGAGTTTAAGCCACCAGGTCTGGGACTTGAACCGTGGTTGATTACATGGGAGTCCAGTGACATAGCCATTACGCAAACTGCTGGTCCCAAGAGTGCTTTTTTTTTTTTTTCTATAGGGTGTATGTACTTGCTGGAGAGAGATAGAGAGACAGAAAGCGAAAATTCAGCTCTCTGGGGAGATGGCCACACCGCAATCCCTTCTCCTCCATTCTCCTTTCAGGACTTTAGGCATGCGTGTACATGCGCCCAGTGCGTTTTAAGCCTCCTGGTCTGGGACTCAAACAGCGGTACACTATGTGAGAGTCCAGCAACGTAACCATTACGCCATCTGCTCGTCCTCCATGTAGGTCTTAACTGGGATGGTTTGGATAATGACTGGTCTCCTGAAGGTTCATGTTCTGAAAGCTTGTTTCCCAGTGTAATGGCTTTGGGAGGTGGTGAGACATTTAAGAGGCGGTACCTAATGGAACCTAACTGGACTCCATCCAACTGGCTGGGAGTGTGGGATAGACCACAGAGGAAGAGGGAATCCTGTTTCTTTTCTTTCTCTGCTACTGTCAGTCATGGTGTGATATAGAACCAGAGGTCAACCAGGTCTACGCCTTTGGATTTCCATTTTTTCAGCTACCAGAATCATGAACCCAATAAACCTCTATTCTCCCCTGCTCCACCTCCAAGTCACCCAGTCTTGGACTCAAGCTATGCAGTTGGCCATATGGGATTTCCAGCTACCTTAACTGCCGCGCCACTGACTGGTCCATAAACCTCTTTTTTCTTTTTGTTTTTTGGAGAGGTTTTTGCTATAGGGCGTGTCCGCTCACCAGAAAGCGAAAGAGAGAGAGAGAGAAAGCGAGAAATCACGCCCCAGGCGGATGGTCACGCTGCAATCCCTTCTGCTCCATTGTCCTCTCGGGATCTTGGGCACGCATGCACACGCACCCAGCGTGAGTTTAAGCCACCGAGTCCGGAACTCGAACCGTAGTCGGCTACATGGGAGTCCAGCTACATAGCCATTACGCCAACTGCTGGTTTTTCACCCCCAGGCTCACCCTGGCTTAGCCCCCATGTGCCCCCTCCCCGGAGTCCGAGCCTTGAATCCTACCCCAACAGGCCTTGCTCCACCCGACAGGCCCACCCCCAAAAATGCAGATCCTTGGAGGTCCACGGCAAGAGCTGGCAAGAGCGGTCGGGGGCTCACCTTGTGCTGGGCCAGCTCAGGGAGGGAACGGCGCACGTGTTCCTGCAGCCGGTAGAGGGCCACCGAGGGCTCGTTGGCCAGGACGTATACGCTCTCAGTAAACTTGTCCGTCACTGGGTCCAGGGTCAGCAGGGAGGGAGGGTGGGGGGGCAGACAAGGAGAAAGAGTAAAGGACTCTTGATCGCTCAACCCGGGAGCCCAGCCAGAGCAGGGAGGAGCCTCCAGTGCCTCCCCAGCAGCTGGTCACCGTAGCCCAGGGACAGGCTGGAGGAAGTGGTCACAATGCATGCGGTCAACTCATGATCCTTCCCTGCAAACCCACTGGCAGTGGGCATTACTGTGTTGCTGTTCTCTGAGATTCCATTGCACATCTTTTACCAAGTGATTGCACCTGAGTTTGTTGGTTTGTTTTTGGTTTGCTATAGGTGCGTGCGCTCACTGGAAAGACAGGAGACAGAAGGAGAAATGAGAAATCACCCCCTGGTGGGAGTGGCCACTTGCAAATTCCTTCTCCATTCTCCTCTTGGGATTTTTGGGCAGGCACACACACGCACCTGGTGCGATTTTTCAAGCTGCTGGCTCCAGGACTCGAACATGACAGTTGGCCTTGTAGGGTCCAGCAGCTTTAACTTCCACATCATTTGCTGGCCCCAAGACTTTTTCTTTTTTTGAAGTTTTTCTTTCTTTCTTTTTCTGGGGAGAAGTTTTTGCTATAGGGCGCACGCACTCGCCAGAAAGACAGAGCGACAGAAAGAGAGAAATCAACCCCCAGGGCGGATGGCCACACCACAATTCCTTCTCCTCCATTATCCTCTCGGGATCTTGGGCACACATGCACACGCGCCCGGCGTGAGTTTTAAGCCACTGGGTCCAGGACACAAACTGCAGGCGACTCCGTGGGAGCCCAGTGACATAGCCACTACACCAACTGCTGGTCCTTAAGTTTTTATTTCTTGCATCAAAGTGAAAGAGATAAGAGAGATAAAGCACCACCACAAGATTTCACACTGCGGGGGCCGGTGGGTGGTGGACTCCCATGTGGCAAACCGCAGTTCAAGTCCCGGACCTGGTGGCTTGGTTTCTCACTTTCCCTCTCTCTCTCTCTCTCACTCTGTCTCTCCCTGATCTGATGAAAAAATAAATTTAAAAAATAAAATAAATAAATAAATAAGTATTTCACACTGCGATCTCCGCCATCCTTTCCGGACAGCCAGGATCGGGGCCACCTGGAGTATATAGGGCAAGTGGGGAACTGACTTGCCATCTTCCGTATGGATCCAGCATTGCTTAAGCTGGCCGGGCCTTCTGACTCTAGATAATGCCCACAGGGACAAAAAGAGTCTGCAAGTTTATGTCCGTAGATGGCTCTCAGCCGTACTGCTCAGTGAGGAGCATGTAAGCTCGGCCCAGCTGCAGTGGTACAAGCAGGAAGTCGCCATGTATGATGGCTGGAGTCTTATGGAGGTCCAAGTTCAGTTCCCAGCCCAACCTCAACAGCCCAGGTAGGGTGGCCTGCACCTGTGGTCCTAGCTAACCAGGAGGCTGAAGAAGGAAGGATTGTGACAGGATGAAATCCTGTCCAAAAAATACCTCCTGGGTCAGCAGGTGGTGTGGTGGGTAACGCACTGAACTCTCACATAGCTAGAGTCAACTGCAGTGGTTCAGGTCCCGGACCCAGCTGTTTGAGAACCACACCGGGCGCGTGTGCGTGCGTGCGTGCCCAAAATCCGAGACAATGGAGGAGAAGGGATTGCAGCGTGGCCACCCCACTAGGGGGTGATTTCTCACTTTCCCTCTCTCTTTGCGAGCACACACATCCTATAACAAAAAAAACAAAGACATACAATAAATATCTTCATGTGATTAACAGTTTCTGTATTACAACTCAGCTCTGAACACTTTATCACCCAAGGCCTTTGCACCTGCAAAGGGTTCACTCCTGTGACACCCTTCTTCCACCGGCTCCTCTTCATCCCCCAAGTCTCAGCCCACATGTCACCTCCCGAGCAAGGCCCTCCCTTACTATCAAGCTTCCTTAATGCCTCTTCCACCTCATTCAGGACCTTAGCACCTTGTTCGAGTACCGGACTGGGCAGTTTAAAACTCATGCCAGGTGGGTGTGAGTGCATGTCCAAAATCCAGAGAGGAGACTGGAAGGGAAAGGAGGGCTCTCTCTCACCCTCTCTGTTTCTCTGCAAGTGCACGTACCCTATGGCAAAAATCTCTCCCTAATAATAATAATAAAGATAATGATGATGTATAAAACTGTAATCCTTACGGCCAGCAAGGTGGCGTGGTGGTTATGAGCACTGGACTCCCACAATGCCGACTGTGGTTTGAGTCCCAGCCCCGGCAGCTTGCTTTCTTGCTTTCTCTCGCTCTGTCCCTCTCTGGCCAAATTAAAATAAATAACTGGATTTTTAAAAAGTTCAATAAAATAATTCTTTTTTTTAAAAAAGTAATCCTTTTTTTTTTTTAAAAAAAAGGATATAATACATACAGCGATCACCATACCTGACCCCTGCATTTTCCCAGTACTTGACAAATAGTAGGTTACTAACTTCTTTTTTTTTTTTTGGAGGGGTTTTTGCAATAGGGCGCGTGCGCTCGCCAGACAGAGAGAGACAGAGAGACAGAAAGCGAGAAATCACGCCGCAATCCCTTCTCCTCCATTCTCCTCTCGGGATCTTGGGCATGCACACACACGCGCCTGGGGTGAGTTTAAGTCACCGGGTCCGGGACTCGAACCGCGGTCGACTACATGGGAGTCCAGCGACATAGCCATTCCGCCAGCTGCCTGCCCCGGTTACTGATTTCTTAAAAGATCCCTATAGGAGACGGGAGACATTAGAACTCCCCATTTCTCAACTGAGAATACCGAGGCACGAAGTCTCTCTAAAGGTTTTTAAAACAAGTCAACGGCCGAGGTAGGATGCCACCGATGGCAGCTCAATTTTACCTTCCCCCTACATGCACCTGCACCAAGCCCGCCCTTTGTCAGGTCGCCCCTGCGGTAGTTTCCGATCCCCTTCATCCAGCCCCGGGCCCGCCCCACCTTTCTTCCCCTTCAGCTGCATCTCCGGCTCCTCCATAGCGACAGCGGGCAGCGTAAACCAGAGGACCGGAACCGGAAGTTGGCTTGTGGGTCCCACGGACTATGCGCTCCCTATGAAAACCGGACGCCGCAGGACTCTAGTTCCGGTATCCGTTGGTTTGTTCTCGCTCCTCCGTCTTCCGTAACCGCAGAAGGGTTGTAATAGAGAAATGGAAGGAGGCACACTCGGGGACGGAGGAGGAAATGGGGTGGAGACCCCTGAAGCTCCAGGAGGGATACCAAGTAGAGGAGGGACATGGGATAGATAAATATATTCCTGTCGTTATTCGGGGAGAGTGGGTCTCCAGAATGAGTGAGGCCTCAAGAAGGATGCGATTGCACCCAGTCCGATGCTTTCCCGAACCCCCTTTCCCCAGGCAGGCTACTTGGGGGAATCCTCCAGGCACTGTGCACTTTGCGCCGTATAAACGCCCTCCTTTTACTCTTCTGTTGCCACCAAATCCCTGTAGATGCTCATAAGCCTCTAAATCCCAAGGAGCGTGGATATTAAACGTGGAAGAGGGGGGGTGATGACGTTGGCCCTTTAAATTCCATTCGCCCCTCCTACCTCCCTCCGCCCACCGCCTTGAGTAAGCTCCGCCCCCCCGCCAGAAGCTGGAGCCGATTGGCTCCCTTTAAGTGACGCCTGTGGGCGGAGCCGGGGCGGGTGAGCGCGCACCGGTGGAGTGAAATCTTTCGCGTCCCTTGAGGCCCCTCCCACTCCCCCCCTCGGACCCTCAGGCGCTGGGAAAAGAACGCGCAGGCGCAGCCGCACAAGTCCAGCCCCAGCGGAAGCCACGCCTCCTTGCTTGTCTTAAAGGGCCCGAAGTAGCTTCTACTGCTCGAGCCCTTCCGTACTTTGGGGGGGCGGTGGTGCGCAGGCGCAGTCAGGGTGCTCTGAGGTGGGGGTAGCTGTCGCGTATCAAGTTGCTCTCTGTCCTGGCCAAGGAAGCCAAGAGCGTAGAGGGTCCAGTTTCCATCCTGCTCCCCGATATATCCACTGAAGGAGAAAAGTTTGTGAATTGGGTTCCCAAGTTTTGGGGAACCTGGGTTTGCGACGCGGGGGGACGGAGGAGGTTTGTAGGGAGGTGAGTGGACCCCCCTGAATCAGAGAGGCGTGGGTGGGACTGGGACGCATCGCATCTTGGGTGAGCTCTCAATCCAGGGGTACCCCCACCCCCGATAACTGCGGGAAACATGTACTGATCTCCGCGTACTTAAGATCCCCTGCTCAGCTATTTGCAGACTTACTTGTTTTAGGGCTCATTTCCTCATTTTAGTGAAGGGGAAACTGAGGCTCGGAGAGGTTGTCATGGGCTCAAAGGTTCACAGCCAGTAGAAGGGGAGATCCGAACCCAGAAACCTGACCGCAGAGCCAGGGTTTGCAAACGTTGCATGTTGCAGCTGCCTTGATGGTGGGGAAGCATAGGTCTGCAAAGCAATCAGACTCTGGTTTGAATTTCCCAGCCCTGGAACTTAATCCGAGACTTAATTTTCTCATCTCCACTCTGCAAGATTGCATATGCTTTCGGTGCCTAATAAAAGCTGTTGAGGGGACCAGCAGGTGGTGCAGTGGTTAAGGTGCTGGATTCCCACATGGCTGACACTGGTTCGAGTCCCGGATCTGGCAGCTTGCTTTCTCACTTTTTTCTCTTGCACTGTCTCTTTCTGGTCAGATTAAAACTGAAGATAATGGGACCAGCAGATAGTGCAATGGCCATGTTCCTGGACTCCCACATAGTTCACCTCGGTTTGAGTCCTGGACCTGGACTTGGCAACTTAAAATTCATGCAGGCGCGTGTGTGTGCGTGCCCAAGATCCCGAGAGGAGAATGGAGGAGAAGGGATTGCAGCGTGGCCATCCTCCCTGGGGGGTGATTTCTTGCTTTCTGTCTCTCTGGCAAGCATACGCACCCTATAGAGATATCTCTCTAAAATAATAATAATAATAATATAAATAAATAGGGACCAATAGATGGTGTAACAATTATGTCACTGGACTCCTACATGGGTGAACATGGCATGGCCATATCCCCTTTGGGAGGGGTAATTTCTTGCTTTCTGTCTCTCTGTCTCTCTCTGTCTTTCTGGTGAGCGCATGTGCCCCATAGCAAAAACCTCTCAAAAAATAATAGCAACAAATAAACAATTTTTTAAAGAATGATTCATTTTAATTTTCTTTATTCATTCATTTATTTTTAATTTGACCAGAGAGAGACACAGGGAGAGAGTTAGAGAGAAAGTGAGAAAGCAAGTCACCAAGTCCAGGACTTGAACTGCGGTCGGCCACGTGGGAGTCCAGCGCCTTAACCACCACGCCATCTGCTGGCCCCAAAATAAACAAGTCTTTTTAAAAAAAAAAAAAAACACCTTGTTTTTATTTATTTATTCATTCATTCATTTTAATTTGACCAGAGAGAGACACAAAGAGAGAGAGAGAGAAGGAAAGTGAGAAAGCAAGCCACCAGATCCAGGACTCGAACCGTGGTCGGCCATGTGGGAGTGTCCAGCACCCTTAACCACCACACCAATTGCTGGTTCCCAAAAATAAACATTTCTTAAAAAGAAAAAAAAAAGAGCTGTCGATAACTTTTTTTTTTTTTTGGAGAGATTTTTGGTATAGGGCGCGTGCGCTTGCCAGACAGACAGAGACAGAGAGACAAAAAGCGAGAAATCACCCCCCAGGGGGGATGGCCACGCCACAATCCCTTCTCCTCTATTCTCCTCTCAGGATCTTGGGCACGCACGCACACGCGCCTGGCATGAGTTTTAAGCCACCGGGTCCGGGACGCAAACCGTGGTCGACTACGTGGGAGTCCAGCGACACAGCCATTACGCCAACTGCTGGTTCCCATGTTGATAACTTTTGTTACCACTCCTTTTCTTGCCCTTCCACCAGCATCCCCCATGGAGCCCACCCAGACTGTAGACGACCTCATCCTGACCCAGCAGTCCCCTGCTCCAGACCTTGGGGACCCTGAAGACCTCGGGGATGAAGCCGTCGATGGCTCGGACACTGTGGTCCTCAGTCTTTTCCCCTGTACCCCGGAGCCCGGGATTCCTGAATCTGATATCAGCGTCTCCTCTCCACAGGGTAGGATCCGTCCTCTGGGCTGGTCCCTCTGGGCTTTTGTGACTGTGGAATGTGAGGCCCAAGATGGGACCTCTGTCTTTTTTTTTTTTTTTTTTTGGTAGAGGTTTTCCCTATAGGGCGCATGTGCTCGCTGGAAAGACAGAGAGAGCCAGAGAGACAGAAAGTGAGAAATCGCCTCCCAGGGTGGATGGTCACGCTACAATCCCTTCTCCTCCATTTTCCTCTTGGGATCTTGGGCACGCACGCACATGTGCCCGGCGTGAGTTTAAGCCACCAGGTCTGGGACTCGAACCGCGGTCGACTACGTGGGAGTCCAGCGACATAGCCATTACGCCAACTGCTGGTCCCTGGGACCTCTGTCTTTATGGTCTTCTGGGACATGACTTTCCTCTTCATCCAGCATGGGGTTGTTTATTATTGTTTTTAGTTTTTTTATGGCCATAGGGTGAGCGTTCACCAGAGAAATAGAGAGAGACAGAGAGCGAAAAGGAAAATGAGAAATCACCCGCCCAGGAGGTGGCCACATAGCAATCCCTTCTCCTCCATTCTCTTCTTGGGATTTTGGACACACACCTGGTGTGAGTTTCAAGCTGTCTAGTCCAGGACTTGAACTGCAGTTGGCCACGTGGGTGTCCAGCACCTTAACCTCAATGCCATCTGCTGACCCTATTTTATTTATGTATTTAGTTCGACAATTTTGTGCATTTTTTTATTGTAATAAAATACATATAACATAAAATGAATTTTTTTGTTTTGAAGAGGTGTTTGCTATAGGGCACATGCGCTCGCCAGAAAGACAGAGAGAGACAGATAGAACTGTGGTCAGCCATGTGGGAATCCAGAGCCTTAACCACCATGCCCCCTACTGGTTTTTATTTATTGACTCACTGGAAAGAGATAGAGAGAGAAAGATAGGGAGAAAATGAGAAATCACCCCTCAGCGGGGAATAGTCATGCCACCATCCCTTCTCCATTCTCCTTTCAGGATTTTTGGGCACACATGTACCTGTTCATTGTTTTAAACCACTGGGTCCGGGACTCGAACCGCAGTTGACTATGTAGGAGACCAGTGACGTAACTATGACGCCATCTGCTGGTCCCCTCCTCTCAGGATTCTCAGCAAACATGCCTAGGTGCCTGGCATGAATTTCCAGCTGCTAGGTCGGGGACTCAAACCGCGGTTGCCCATGTGGGAGTCCGGCACCCTAACCACCATGCCACCAGCTGACCCTCAGTTTGCTTTTTCAACACCCCTGCTTGCCCACGGCCTCCCTTGAGGGCAAGGACTTCATTTGTGTCCAGAATACTGCCAGCCGTGGAGGAGAAAGATGTGTCCTGACTGTCCCAGGAAAGAGAGTCAATAAATGGTCTGAGGACCAGCAGGTGGCGTGGTGGTTAAGGCTCTGGACACTCCCACATGGCTGACCATGGTTCAGGTCCTGAATCTGGTGGCTTCCTTTCTTACTTCCTCTCTCTCTCTCTCTGTCTGTGTCTGTCTCTGGTCAAATGAAAAGATATTATTGGGGACCAGCAGTTAGCATAGTGGCTATGTCACTGGCCTCCCACATAGTTGACCAAGGTTCGAGTCCCCGGTGGCTTAAACTCATGCCGGGCGCATGTGCGTGTGTGCCCAAGATCCTGAGAGGAGAATGGAGGAGAAGGGATTGTGACATGGCCATCCCCCCTGGGGGGGTGATTTCTTGCTTTCTCTCTGTCTTTCTGGCGAGCACATGCGCCCTATAGCAAAAATATCTCCAAAAAAAAGAAATGAGTGAATAAATAAAATTAAATAATTTTTTTTCTTTTTCTTTTTTTTTGGAGAGCTTTTTGCTATAGGGTGCATGTGCTCGCCAGACAGAGAGAGACAGAGAGACAGAAAGCGAGACATCACCCCCAGGGGGGATGGCCACGCCGCAATCCCTTCTCCTCCATTCTCCTTT